GCAATTTCTCATACTTTGATACTCAAATCTCCGCCTGAGAATCAACTGAGAAGAGCTTCGATCAACAAGACCTGCTTGTCCCTGTTATGAACCCATAACAGAGACGGACAGATGCGCCATCGGATCCACGCAAGGCACAGTGAACTACTGGCCCTAATAGATTCGAAGCCATTCCCCCAACCAACGTCAAAGGAAAACAGCTTCGTCACGTATCCTTCAAAGGTATCCGGTATCAAAGCCCGTAGCTTGAGCAAAAAGTTCCGTGAACACATCAACCAGGCACAACTCTTCTACAACTCACTGAGCGAACCTGAGAAACTCCATGTCAAGAAGGCGTTTGCATTCGAACTTGACCACTGCGACGACCCAATCGTATACAACCGCCTCGTCGAGCGTCTTACCGAAATCGACCTTGACCTAGCACAATCCGTCGCCGTCCTGGCTGGCGCGCCCACTCCGCAGAAGGAAACACGACCCAACAAGGGCGAGAAAACCATCAACCTGAGCCAGGCTGAGCTCAATCAAAAATACGCTGCAACCCCGTCCATCAAATCCCGCCGCATCGCCATCCTCATCGGGGATGGCTATGATGCCGTCGCATTCGTCTCCGCAAAGACCGCTATCAAAGCCGCCGGGGCCCTCCCCTTCATCATCGGCACCAAGCGCCAGGCCATCTTTGCGGACCACGAAGATCCTAATAAGGAAAAGGGTGTCATTCCCGACCATCATTATGACGGCCAGCGTTCAACAATGTTCGATGCCACTTTTGTCCCTGGCGGCTCACATGTCAAGAATATAGGGAAGATTGGTCAGATTCGGCACTGGATTGCGGAATCCTTTGGGCATCTCAAGCCCATTGGCGCCACGGGGGAGGCGGTCAATCTGGTTGCTCAGGCTCTGAGTGCGGTGCCAGAAGTCGAGGTGGCGGATGCGTCTGATGGGCAGGTAGTTGAGTCGTATGGAGTGGTGACGAGCGGGAGACTGCATGAACCAGAGAGCCTGACGGAAGGAATCAAGATCATCAAAGAGGCAACGGATTTCCTCGGCAAATTCTTTTATCAAGTATATCAGTTTAGGAATTTTGACAGGGAGATGGAAGGATTGGTTGATCGGGTTGCGTTTTAAGACTGCAACAAGTTGTGCAGTGGTAACTAATAGTTGTATTTTGTTAAGTTTTTGTAGCTATATAACTAGCAGGGCGTTGACACAAATTGATAGTTTTCTTAGCTATGGCGATGGTTACTCCCGCTCCCAGACCCTAAATTCATCACTCATTCCCTTCAAACAACAGAATATTTGCTGCGGTGCAGTCATGCCATTCCTTTCATGCCAAGGGGCCAATTCGGAGGTATATATAGCTATACAGCCACAACTACCTAAACGCACAGGGAGACCCCAAAGATTTGGTCCAAAGTTTATAGGGGGAAGTTATACAAACAAGATATACAGACACAGAACTGCCAACAAAATCATGCCCACCTCCAAGTAGGTCTATACAAGAGATCCGCGTCTCCATTCGGCGCCTGCTTCTCGTACGCCCTCTCGGGCTTTGGGCACGACGGTGCATGTCCTGTCTTGGAACACTTCTTGTCACATTCGTGTCGCGGGAGGAGGAGCTCAATGGCCGCTTCCACGTCCAATGACTCGCCCGTGTCAGTGCACTTGAGCGCCCACTTGGCGTCTGATTCATTGAATCCCAGTTCATATACTAGTTTATGCAGAGCTTTGTCGGCGGGGTCCATGAAGGTGGGAATTGGGGTCCGGCTGCGTCTTTTGATGGGGCCGGGGGAGGGATGGCGGCCCTGAGAGATCTTCTCTTCAGGCTCGGCATTGAGGGAAGTATTTGTGATTTTCGGTCGTTTAGTACCGGTAGGGTCGGGTGATGATCCATCGAGCCTCCGGATAACTTCTTGGAAATTTGAAATAGGTCGCTCTTCAGTATCTGCATCCGCCTTTTGATTCCGAGCTTGCTCCTGCATCTCTTGCCGTTTCCGACGAAGCTCAGAAGCAAACTCTTTGCGGCGCTGTCTTGAAATATTAGCGCCCACTGAGTATGATCGAGGCCTTTGCTTGGGACTAGACTGCTGCCGAGTTGGTGGTGATGAAGACTGGCCTATCTTGGGAGTCTGGAATCGTGGCGACGTTTCTCCCCTTACAAGCCGGTTGTCATAGACGCGAGAAACTGCCTCTTTAAGGAATGATCGATTAGATCCGCTTCTGGCTTTAGTCGGACTGGTCCATTCGTCCAGCCTAATGGAA